TCAAAAAAGGGAATTTTCCAAACTGAATAAACATTTCCCATGATGAAAGGCAGAAGAAAAGGAAATAAAATGAAGGGACGGGTTTGATAGTGACAGATACTTGTGTGAATGCCAGAGCACTTTCAACCCTCATCAGTAAAGACGTGAACACAAAGAGGTTTTTTAATCATCTCATTCTTTAAAGTTTGTTTCACAGACAAGCTGGCTCCATGGGACAGAAATAAGCAATGGAAAAACTAGAATTCATGCATAGCAATAATAGCATCTCTCCTGGAGGTTTGGAGCTTGCACTGCCTCCAGCCCTGCGCAGCCTCACTGCCCCCAGGAAGAGCAAACACCTCGGTGTGGAAGCTCTGCCTCCATGGAAATGCAAAGACAGACAGACATCAAAGAGAAGGTGCCAAGAAAGCTCTCATTTTGCCATTAAATGTTACTGATGCTAATGTGTCTTCTGATTTCCATAACTTGATTTCGGGACACAGCTGTCCTCACTGTGTAATTGCAATGATGCCTATCTAAACCTGTACCAAAGTGCAAATTCCTCCACGGGAGGGTGGGATGAGGCTGATGAACATCCAGGGGACGTTACGTCTGCCACCACAGATTATTAATAACCCCCTCGTCTTTAGCACCTAATTTACTAGTTTTATTTGATTTATTCCAGGAGAAGCAGGAGTTTCCATCTCTCTCCTTCGTGAAGAAGCAAGCAAGAGCAATGCCCAGACGGGGACACACGCGTGCCCTGGCACAGCTGAGCTCACCCACGGGTGGGATGCTTTGCACACACACCTGTGGCCCGCAACGGAGGCACTTCCACTAATGTCGAAGCGCTGTATGATTCCTGAGCTGAAGCCAAGCACATCAGTGCAAGCACTGAATTATAGATGCGCCTGGAGTAGAGGGGCAACAAACTTTTGAAACTTTTCAGCCACCTGCTGCCTCATGGAGTTGGGGGTAATTGCAGGTAGAATTTGGTTGCGACCATCTCGGTTCGTTTGGACTGGGATGTGTGTGAAAGTGATTTCAGGACACGCCTCCCAGAGTGGGGAACAATCCAACTCCTTGCATCTGGATTTCTTGGTTCATTAGAAAGATAAGGAGCACCTAACAAAATCTAAGAACATGAACAAGTATCTAACAAAATCTCAGCATCTCTGCAGCACTCCAAAGAAGCTGAAAACAGGTTTTGTAGCATGGTTGTCTACATCCAGTGTTTTGGCATATGTCGTTTTGAGATTTTCATGAATTGCAAATAAATGCATGAGGTAACCAGTGACAGTGGTCCAAGACAAAACAGATGCATGTATTATAGGCTCTGATTTGACATGCACTACAGCACGTGCCTTGTAGCTCAAGGAATCCCATGAGTGTTAAAGCAAAAACATCTTGAACTGGGTGTTTAATACAACCATAGTATTTTTATAATATGGGAATTATGAGGATTTAATAAAACTACAGAATGCTAAATTTTAGAAAGAAGGAGAATTACACCTGACCTGTAGAAGGTGCCCCACTGGGAAGAGCAGATCCCAGCACTGTGTCTTCGGTGGCCAGCATAATCAGTCCTCACAGAAACTTTATTTATTTGGATGCGAGTTCTTGGAGAAGACAGAACTTCTCCATACCTCCTCTGTCCAGCTTGTAAATCTACATGCAGTTCTACAAGTCACAGGAGAAAACATAAATGAGATGCTGAACAGAAGAAATATATCTGTGCAAAGGAAACTCCAAATTGGTCCCTCTAGGACCTCCAAACTAAAATAATAAACAACAGACACAGAAGCAAGTGGCACTAAGCCACATGCATACAAAGCATGTACAAAACACCCCATGAGTCAGACTGATGGCCAGTTTCCCCACAGTAACCAGTACCAAGCAGAGCAGCGATGGTCACCAGCAAGGCTTAGCTAAGCCAGCAGCAGTTGACGGTCCTCAGGCACTGCTCTGTAATGTGTCAATAAGCAGACTTTGCAGTGCCCAAAAATCCAGGATAGGGCCAACTGCTAAATTACATCCAAAGCTCAAGTTCCCTAAACACCAGGAGGCTGCAGAAGCTCTTTGTCTCTCAGCCTGCAGGCTTCACATCATAGAGAAACTAACTCCACAGAACAGCTGTCTTACAAGAGGCTTATTCACTTCTTACTCACTCTCTGCTTGAATGCGAAACAACTTTCAAGCGCAGACTTCTCTTCCAGTAAAAGCAGCCTTAAAAAGCCACATATTATCCTTGTCTCTTTTTAAAGATACAGAAGTTCTGCAGAATTCATGTTGAAGCTAAATGCTTCTCAAAAATACAGTAGGGAAGGAAGCAGAGAGGGGAAGAGAGCTCCCAGCTCCTTGCTCAGGAGCTCCCCAGGAGAGGAATTGTTTTGCAGGCAGTGGCAGCAGGGCTGCCCCAAGCTTTTCACCCTTCCTGGGGGATTCTAGGACGTCTGCTCCTGTAGCTGAACCATGAGTGTGCGTTCAGGAAACACTGAATTACCTTAGCACCCAGGCTGTGAGCTGTGGCTCTTCCAGTGCCTCGCTGCAGCCAGCTGGGACATCCCCGCAGCAGGGCAGAAGCCCTCGAGAACGGGTTCAGGAGGGAGATCTGGGCTGGGACCTCTGCATCTGCCATCCTCAGTCCCTGCTTTTCAGTCACCACATTAGAATAAACAGAAACCAGGCTCAGGAGAGCTTATAGCTGAGCTATAGCTCTGACCCTCCAGAAAGGTCCCATTTTGCCCCCTCTATCTACACAAGGATTAAGCAGTATTCAGGCTCTGAGGCTCCAGAGGCATCCTAGCCCAGAAGCGGACCCCGTAGCCTGACTGCAGGGTGATCAATACACCCTACATGAACATATATAAGCACTTATGGACATATGGGATATCTACATGTGGCATAGGTACTGCATAAGCCAGGCCAAAACATTAGCTATCATACCACCTGCTTGCGTGTCTGTATGTAATCTGCTTTAACTACCCTTCTAGGTTGGGTGATTTCCTTTGTTTTATTACCAAGATAGCATGTTTCCTGAAATATATTAGGAGTATATTTGTCCTTCTGCTGAAGCAAGAGAGAATCAGGACCAGGGAAACTATAGTCTGCTAAGCTTTATCATCTCTTATTTATCTAACACTCCTGGCAAATTACTCTGGATATACAGTAATTGAGATTTGTCCACGTTACAAATTGCAAGTCACTTTATAAATTACCTTAGGTACAAACTACGGTTTCTGCTTTCTATCTGGATGGTGAAAACTCTGAATAATGAATGACAGCTAACAAACAGCAAATGGCTCCTAGTGATAGCACTGCAACATGCACAAAATAATTTGGAATTTGTAAATATTTCAATGAATACTAATGATTGCCTGAATAGCTAGAGATTACAGATAACACCAGATCACAAACAGTCACAGAATGAAAGTGGTCTGTGGGTTCATTAAACAAGGGGAAAAAAAGAAGCCCTTTCTCCATCACATCTGAGAAGATACGCACAAAATTCGGGTCCTCTCTGCTGTGGCCACGCTGCAGCTGCACAGCCGGTCTGCTCACCGCCCCGGTGGGAATTCAGTCGGGTGTGTTGTTAAATCTGATCTTCCTCCAATGGCACCCTCCAGCCGTTATCCCACCGACCAGGAGTTTCTCGCACACGCAGCATCCTCTGCTCTCCCACCCATGGCTCCCACGAGCCCACAGTGACATCCTCCGTTGGGACACGGCAGCGGCACCTCTGCTTCGTGGACTGGCTTGAGGACACTTGGTTCCCTGAAGAAGGGGACACACGGCATCAGGCAGCTGCAGGCCTGCCCGGCTGCCTGCCCATCAGGCACAGCCCTAGCACCAGCACCTGGAAAAAGCAAGCCCGGATCTAAACACAGAGCCAGCATGTTGTCTCAGTGCTGGGCAAGTTAAGGGACAGGATGAGGCTGGTTCTTGCTGGAGGCCACCCTTTGGTGGGTGCCATCAAGGGCCACCCCTGCGGGAGCGCTTGGCAGACTCCCTGCCTGTGCTGCGCTGAAAGGTGCTCTCACCTCCCAGCTCTGCTGGCTGCAAGTGATTTACTGTGATTTAAAAGAGCCCTTTCAGCCTCCTCCTGGTAGGATCGGCGTCTGCTATCAAGGCAGTGGCTGTGGTGGTACGTTTGAAGAGGAATTCTGTGAGGCTGTAACAGTTCCTGATGTGAAAATAGCTTTTGGAGTAATCAGAAAGCAGCAACCCCCCGGGCATTAGCTTCGTGCATACTTCTGGGTTTGCACAATTTTCTTGCTCTGCTGTTTTGATTTCTGGTCTTCAAAGATGTACACAACCTATCAGACTTCCCCAGAAAGAAAGGCGCTTGGCCAGGGTCTCCAGCCAGTATCCTGCTCTGGTTTCCAGTGTTGCTGTTCTGCACGTCCCCATGCCGTTCTCCAGAGGTGGTGATTGTGGTGAGCTGATCCTACCCTGGTGACGGGACACCCGTGAAGACATTTGCACTCCTGCGGTCTGGAGCAGGCACTACGGACAGGGGTTTTACAGCTGCAGGTAACTTCATCCTAGAGTATCACCAACTGAAGAAAGTATTCAAACAAAAGTTATTTTGTTTAGCTTTATGAAAAGGCTTATTCACTTCTTGGACCTTATTCACCTCCCTGGAGCTGGGGGCTGGGGGCAAGGACTTCCTTGGTTTGCAGACCAAGTGGCATGGCCACTTAGTAAAGAGTTACCTGCTCCCAGGCAGCTTCACCCCATCCTCCTGGTGCCCGTGAGGGGCACGGGCAAAAGCGTCACCCTCCTCGCTCTGCCTGCCCGGAAAGCACTCCTGGGTGACCTCTGATTAAAAGACAAGTTAAGCCTTGACCTCCGCTCCTCTCCATCGAGGCAGGAACCGTAAGCAGTCCCCATGGCCTCTGTTTTTTGGGGGAGGGATCCTTTGGGGAGGTGCAGGAATGGGGAGGGATGCAAGGATGCTCTGGGTGAATCCAAGGATGCTCTGGGAGAATCCAAGGAT